GTGCTAGCATTGACTCCTGTGCTAGCATTGACCTTGTGCTAGGAGGAAGGCTTCTGCAAGGCTTCTACTCCTAGACTCTCCACAGTCACATCTGTGAACCAGCACAGTGACTGTCGCCACTGGCCATGGGCCTCTGTATCTCCATGACAATGATGAACCCAGTTCCTGGACCAGGAAAACCCTGGGTCATTTTGATCTCCAGCTGGCCTGTAGAAAAGCAGGTGTTCTGAATTCTAAAGGACCTCAGAACAAGTTTGGGTTCAAGGAGCTTTACAGCTGGAAAGAACAGATTCCTTGATACAAATCAAAATATCCAGTTACTCCACATGACAAAAATCTATGATAGCAGCCTTGTCGGCAATCTGTGATGCTCAGAGTGGCTTCCAAGGAAACACTCATTTGTCTGAATTATAAACGCGGTCAAGTTAGTATCTGCATTAGGCATTATGGCAAAAGCAAGCCATTGGTCCATATGAAGATGGAGTTTTCTTAGCCTGGAAATTGTTCACTCCCGCCGTCATCCCTGGGGTCCCCCCCAGTGAGCCAGAGCTCCTGTTATATACTCGGGCTTACAAAGACCTGAAGGAGGAGGGACCTTCTAGTTAGACAGCTAACGAGTGAACGTGGGTGACACTTGGGACAACTGGCGTGGTAACGGGGCAGGGATGTCTAGAGGAAGGGAAGGGGCATACGATCCTTTGTGCACACTGGCTCTCTGCCCTCCCCTGTTTCCAATCTGTAAACTGTCCACATCAACAGTCCTTACTGTTTCGAGGAAATGAAACAGAGATAGGCAGAGAAGAGAGGTCTCCCCGAAGAGAGGGAGAGTGCTGAAGATTTTCAGCCCTGCTACCAGTACATGTTATTGGTAAACCCTGGTTAGGAGAAATGTACAGTATACACCATAACCCGCATGTAGCTACTTGAGTCCCATCCAAGTCGCAAACATATGACACGCTCCTATTACTCCAGCATGCAGGAAGGAGGGTAAGGCAAGGAGTGTGGCAAATTCAAGTCGGGTTTGAGCTTCCCAGCGAAGACCCTATCTCCAAAAGAAAACCTCTTGGAGATGATGGATGAGTCGCCGCCATCTCACTGTTGGCCAGAGCTTAGGTGCGCTCTATCACTTCCCAGCTGCGGAATCCTTCTTTGTCCACAATGCTGTCTCTCAATACCCACTAGCAACTTAGTTTCAAGACTCTGCTCACAATACCTTCCTCTCTTGAGGCCCTACCTTAGCTGAAAGTCCATTTATTTACCTTCCCACCAAGAAGACCCTAGAACCGCAGTTCCCTTGGGTCCTGATCCTTGATGGAATGTCTAGTACACAAGCTGCCCTCCCAGCTAGACTTGGGGGCAGGAGGGCTCTTGAGAGAGGGTTTTTCTGAAGGGAACTCCTCTGGTGTCGGTGGATTAGTTCATAATTTTCAACCCAAGTGCCAGCCCCTAGAGCAGGTCCTGTAGCGATCAGATGGTAGAGCTGAGATTCAAACGGAGCCCACATGATCCCCTAACCTTCTATCGCTGTGACTAATGCCCCCTCCCCCCAATTAACTTATTGTCATTGTCTCGAAGGGTTTAGCCCATGGTCTCTTGGCTCTGTTGTTTCTGGGCCTTTGGTGAAGTAGAATTGTCATGGCAGCGATGAGGAGCCAAGCTTTTGCTCTCATAGCAGACAGGAAGGAGACAGAGAGGAAGGGAGTGATGGATAGATGGGGGGATTGAGGGAGAGAGGGAGGGAAGGAGGGAGGGAGGGAGGAATGGGGATTAGGAGCAAAGAAAGGAAGGAAGGAGGGAGGGAGAGAGTGAGGGAGGGGAGTCAGAAACTAGATATACCCTTCCAAAGCCTGCCACCCCTACCATGGACCCACTTCCTCCAAACAGGCTTACCTACTAAGGATTCTACCACTTTCTTTGCTTTTAGATTTATTTATTATGTATACAATGTTCTGTTTGCATGTTTGTCCATATGCAGAAGAGGGCACCATATCTCATTGTACATGGCTGTGAGCCACCATGTGGTTGCTGGGAATTGAATTCAGAACTCTGGAAGAGCAGTCAGTGCTCTTAACCTCCGAGCCATCTCTCCAGGCTGTGATTCTACCACTTTCTGATAATGCCCCTTGATGCAATCAAAACTACATACATGATCTAATCATCTTCCAAGGGCTGCACACCTCAAACATTGTCCCATTGGAGTCCACATCTTTAACACCTGAGCTCTGGGGATTATTTCAGATCCAAATCTTAACCACACCTCTGATCACACTGATATAACATTTTAGTACCTCTACTATCCACCCTTTTGCCCAAAAAAATAAACAAGGAATTTGATCAGTTAATAGACCCTAGAATTGCAGGACAGTTTCTGGTCTCACTCTCCCAATAATCACAGGCTTAGGCTGGATTTGACCAGGTTTGGCTGTTGGAAAAAAGTCCCAAACCAGGAGGAGCTAGTTGCTCTGTGGTAACATGTGCCACATGGATCCCAGAAGCCTGGAGTCTGGAAAGTGCTCCATCAGTAGGTGTCTGTCCACGTCACCTGAGTAAGGCTTAAGACTCTGATGGGTTAAATCTGTGAAAACTCTCTGTTACATTTCCCTGTGAAGTCCGTGGCTTATGCTTCCTAAAAGTTGCCTTCAACAAACTTCAGAGCTGGGGCTTTGAGTTTTCTTGACTGGTTTTTACTTTGTTTGAAAATGTCTTTCCACACACACAGTGTAATGGGTGGGGTGAGGGGGCCTACACAAATAAGAATTCCTGCTGGCAGGTGTTTAATAGCTCCCCAGTTACGGAGCCAAGAGTTCATTCTCATATCTTTAAAAATGTCCAGGCCCTTGTGGGCTTGTTATTGTTTGTCCAGTTCTATTAATAGACTCCCTCCCCTGGTCCCTGCAATGTATAGTAGTTCATCATGGCACATTTTAGGAAAACACTAACAGACTCTATTTTTGAAATTTCTCTTTTCTTCCAGACTTGACATTGCATGTTTGATCAGAAGTAATAATAATTTATACATTTTTGGGGATGGGGTGGGGTACAAGCTACTTGTTTTAGTTTCTCAAAGTGGGCGATGTCAGTCTAGAGAAAGGTCTGTTTGTGAGTTAAAATCCTTTGAAACACAGAACACATTCGATTCCTGAAAACGGCTCCAAAAGTCTGTTTGCTTTGCCTCTTCAAAGTGGTCAAATGCAAGCTGAAAAGTGTTTCAAAGGCAACCCCACAGCTGTCTGTCATCCCCGGGCTTGATGCAAGCAGGCAGGGACCCACGACTCCGGGCTCAGCTCTGACCATCACTGACGACAGCCATGCAGGACATCCCGATTTCTAAAGCCTTAGTTAACTTCCTTGCTATTTTGAAGGTGTAAAATTTCTACCCGTGGCTGAAACTTCAAGTACCACAAAAGAGCAAATAAAAGCAAATCTATCTTCTATACCAGCTGCCTACCCATGCTTCCGATTTCCATTCCTTGCTTTGGCTGTATTTTTTTTTTTGGTTTTTCGAGACAGGGTTTCTCTGTGTAGCTTTCCACCTTCCCTGGAACTCACTTGGTAGCCCAGGCTGGCCTCAAACTCACAGAGATCTGCCTGGCTCTGCCTCCCGAGTACTGGGACTAAAGGCGTGCGCCACCACCGCCCAGCTGCTTTGGCTGTATTCTTGTGATAATATAATAATTATATGCTATAATGAGCATAAGCATTACATGGTTGGGAGCCTACTCTACATAGTCTCTTCACTGCACGCTGTATCTCAGAGATGGCTCATATTAAACACATACAGTTCTACTGAGTTTTTAAAGACTACTTAGTATTCCATAACAGACTTGACAAACCTCCATTTGATTTGAGTGCCTAGGTTGCTTCGTTTTTCTGTTGTGTAAACAGTGCTTCAAGGAAGCCCCTCTTCCCAGGGAGAACCTTAGGGAGTGCTAATTGAGAAGGATCAGTTTCTAACAGCAAAAGGGAGTCTCTGAAGGGTCCAGCATGGTGGTTTGGGCATCCTTTTGTTTGGAGTCCAGGTGGCTACCACACCAACATGATTTTAAAACAACGTAATTCACCTTTCTTCTTTAAACCCCAGATGCATGTAGTAGTTCTTGCAGTCAGGAGGTTCCAGTCTCAGATAATTTTTACTGGAAAGGCTAAACTTGGCATCTTCCTTGTGTCTCTCATTTTCTTTTCTCTGAGTGCAATGCAAAAATCAGAATGTCTTTACCAGTTACCCAGGACCATTTTTATGTGCTGTTAGGCATATTTCCAATAGAAAAGAAAAATAAATTGTGGGTTATTCTAACATTTAAAAAATTCAAATCTCAATGAAATATTCTTGCTTAAAACACTGAAGCAGAATCTAGACAAGCCTCTAAATCTTGGATTACTAAATACAGAAAATATAAGGCAGAGGGGAATAAATTAAGCTCCACCACGTAGAATCAGCCAACTCAGAAGATGGGTGCGCTCCAAGACAAGCGGCCTAGCGTTTCCCAATAAATCACACTCTCACACGAAGACTGCAGTCCCTGCTACGATAAAAGAAACTTCCAAGCAGTAACAATCCAACACAAACCGAATTTTGATTTCTGTAAACAAATACCACCTCTCTGAAACATGGGGAGGATTTAAATATGGCCAGAGAGTCACCAATTAGTTTTGTCAAGTAAGATAATGGCCTGGTGGATGTGGTTTGTGTTTAAGCCTTAAACAGAGATGCAGTGTTTATCAGTGAATGATATGATTGATGTTTGGGATTTAGAATATTCTAAAAAAAATAGCATGCCTAGTAAATTACTGAAGCTAGGTGGTGGGGACATGGGGTTCGGTACGCTGTTCTTTTCATTTTGGGGTCTTGTGTTAATTCTCTAGGGCTGCCCTCGCAAAGGAGCAGAGGCTGTGTATATTAAGCAGAAGAAACAAACTAACCTCACCATCCTTGTACTGGAAGGTCCAAGAGCACTGAACCGGCGTTGGTGCCGCTGGTTTCTTGCGGAGCCCCTCTGGTTTCAAGATGCCCAATCCTCCATCGCCATGTCTTCCTCTGAGAATGCCTGGACCCTAATCTCCTCTTATAAACAGACCCGACACGTGGATTAGAAGCCACCCCAACAACTTCATTTAACCTTAATTGCCTTCTTAAACCCCATGTCTAAATACACTCACCTTCTGTGGTTTGGAGGATTAAGAGTTCAATATGAACTCTTGGGGGGTAGGGGGACATAGTTCAGCCACGACAGTACCCGTGAATGTTTCCATACTGAAATAGTCACGAGTAAGAGATGTGAGCTTGTGGAGGAGGACACAGTTGCTTACGGACAGCTCATCTAATAATGCAGTAAGCAACGTCAGGTGAGCCGGATCCCCTACCCACCACAGACTCGGCAAGCCACTGACCCTGACCGGAAGAGGTTGATTTATTTGTTTCAGTTGTTTGATAAACCCGACAACCTGAAACTCTAAGGACCCACTTCAGAAGGATTATACATTTTATGATGTGAAAAGATCACTCCAACCTTGGAAAATGTTTACATTCCAGAAAAGGAGAGAGCTAAGCTGTTCCCTGGAAAATGAGTCGGCAGGGGGATGGGCTGCTGATTAGCGCAGACAGGCTCTGGCAGTTTAGCTCCTGTTCTTCCTAAACCTGATCCCCTGATTCCTATCTGATCTTGATTTTTCCCTCCTGCTCTCCCCTACCCACCATTCATATGAATTTTATACTAAAAAAAAAAAAAAAAAAAAAAAAAAAAAAAAAAAAAAAAGATGCTAGTCCCCAGGAGCTAGCATTTAGGAAGTATAGACTATTTTCTTGGGGTTCCCACAATTTCCTGATGTTTGTTTGGGGAAAGATTATTTTCACAATAGTTTATCAAGAGCCATGATCCAGTCAGGTGTGGTGGAGCACATGCCTTGAATTCCAGCACTTGGGAAGCAGAGGTTGGCAGAGCTTTATGAGCGTAAGGACAGGAAGACCACATAGTAAGACCCTGGCTCAAACCAAACCAACCAACCAACCAACCAACCAACCAACCAACAACCAAACTACCTAACAACCAGCCAACCAACCAACCAACCAACCAACAACCAAACTACCCAACAACCAAACAGCCAACCAACCAAACAAACAAACAAACGAAGACCTGATTCAGTACTCCCATGAGGGAAATCAGAAAATGTCTTCCTACATAAATATTTTAAATTCTGGCAAAAAAAAAAACAAAACCATAAAATCAGAATATAGAAATATCCAAAGTTTTTGTGACACATATACAGAGTTAATTTCCTTAATACACAGCAAATGATTACAAATCAACAATAGCATTAACAGTCTAACACATCAATAAAGGAAGGGTGAGCTTGGGTGACTGAGAGAGTGAAATCCTACATTCCCATATGAACCAATGTCAAGAGCTCACAGCTCTGAGCTAGAGCGGTGCTTGCTACAGCTGCAGTGAGATGCTGAATAGCGCTCATCCAGCAAAGACTGGGGAAAGGTTTTGAAGAAAGAGAAGCTGTATACAGGTGTGGAAACCCATGTCTGTAGTCCCCAGCACTCAGGAGAAGACAGGAGAATCTCTCAAGTTCTATGCCAGCCTACACACATAATGATACCCTGTCTTAAAAACATAAAACAGCAACTAAAATTGAAGAGTTCTTCTTTTCTTTAAACGAACTTTTTTTTTTTTTGTTTTGGTTTTTCGAGACAGGGTTTCTTTGTGTAGCTTTTTTTTTTTTTTTAATTTTATTTTACAATACCATTCAGTTCTACATATCAGCCACGGGTTCCCCTATTCTCACCCCTCCCATCCCTCTTTGTGTAGCTTTGCACCTTTCCTGAAACTCGCTTTGGAGACCAGGCTGGCCTCGAACTCACAGAGATTCACCTCCCGAGTGCTGGGATTAAAGGTGTGCACCACCGCCGCCCAGCGAAGAGTTCTTGGTGACAGTACAAATAGGTATGCCCCTTACAGAGCACAATGGAACAGTATCTATGAAATTCCAAAGGGCACATTTCTTTTCCCTCAGGGTTCCTACTGCTAGCCACTCTAGAGAGAAACCTGTATACCTGGGTCATCTTGTGTAAGCATGCTGCAGAAACTTGGTACAAACAGTATTGTTAGGGCATCTTTGGAGATAAATCATGCCATCTCTGTATAATTAATAACTAATTAGTGAGCCTTTAATGAAATGAAACATCTTTGTGGGTTTTTTTTTTTTTTTTTTTTTTGGCATGAGTGATATAGGAAAGGAAAAAGTTAAGACTTCTTGTGCAACAAAACCCCTGTGTGCAGAAAATCATTTGTGTTTGCCAATCCCATGTGGAAGTACATGGGCTAGGCCGCTGGCACTGGATGTCTGGGGATAAGATTGGTGAGGGAGAGTCAGGTAGACACAAACTTTGGCTCTGTGCTGTTCTATACCCTGATGCATTCAGACAAGCACATACTATCTTTGCAGTCTAAAATCTCGAAGGGAGCATTGTGAAAATTTTATAAGATCATGGGAAATGTTTATTGCTGTATTTAATGATGCAATTCCATGTAATTTATCTGGTAATCAAGAGAGGCTTATTTCTGGGATAACTTACAGCCAATAGGACTGGGTTATAGGATCCAGGAGAGATGAGGTATCATCCAGCAGAGAACTCTGGCTTGGTCTCCCGTCCAGATTCCAGGACCACAAGGTATCCAGAAGAGAGAGCAAGCACGTATGTACCTTAAGTCTTAAGGGGGTCCCTCTGGGCCACGCCCCAGGGGCAGGTCAGCCCCAGGGGCAGGTCATAGGCAGGTGTGGAAGTTACCTGCTGTCACTCCAGGGGCAGTGTTTCAAGGTCAAAGCTGGAACAGCTACCCACTGCAAATGTTCAAAGTGCTAATAGGAGACAAAATTGAATTTGGAGAGTAGTAAAACTTCATATAACAAAGAAAGGGCCGGGCGGTGGTGGCACACACCTTTAATCCCAGCACTCGGGAGGTAGAGCCAGGCGGATCTCTGTGAGTTCGAAGCCAGTCTGGACTACCAAGTGAGTTTCAGGAAAGGTGCAAAGCTACACAGAGAAACCCTGTCTCGAAAAACCAAAAAAAAAAAAAAAAAAAAAAAAAAAAAAAAAAAAAAAAAAAAGGAAGGAACAAGGAACAGCATGCACCCAGATTATGACAGCTTGTGATGTGGCAATGCACTCCCAGGAATATTTTCCCCTCTCTATTACATCAAGTGTCTGTAACACACTTACACGGCTTTTTACCATTTTAATACAGCTAGAGTGGGTCATGATGGTGCCAGATTGTAATCCTAGCACTCAGTTGGCTGAAGCAGAAGGGTCACAAGTTCCCAGCCAGCCTGGGTATCCAATAAGAACCTAGTATATGAAAAACAAATTCAAAGCAAAATAAAATAATCATACAAACCTTCTTAGTTGACTTCACCAAAAACTAAAAAATCCACCTGTTATCTTGCAATGGGGTCAGTGATGAGCAAATCGATTGAGATGAATTTCAGAGCTAACCCAAAACCCTCAGCCCTGGATCTATGATGATCCCCAAACCAGATGGTCCTGGCTGGGCAGCTCAGAACCATCCCAATAGGACGCCCAGAGAGTCAGCTCTTTCCTGTGACAATTCTGAAGAATACCTGATTTCTCCTTGCCTCCAATCTCTGCTGCACCTGATGATTTTTCAGGGGAGCCCCATAAGGCACACACCCCTTTATCTGCCACAGAACACACCAGGTCTTGACACGTGCTATTTGAAGTATTCTGTTTTGGCCATCAACTCTTCCTTGTAAGAGGGAGGGGATGGTGGTTAGCACCTGGAAATTCTTGAGGTTGAGACAAACGGCCTGGTAGAGAGTGGGTCAGGAGGGGCATGAAGACAGTTGCGGGGCATGAAGACGGATGGGGGGCTAGAGTCCCCCAGCCACGGGCAGGGAAGAAGCTGGGATTTTGCTCTGAGGACAGTGGAACCATGTTCCCTTTACTGATTATTCACTCTGCGGGCTTGTAGGAGTTCTTCGACGTCTCTGAATGGGACGTTAACACTTTTCTAGACCGTGGTCCCCCAAACATGCTGTTGGCTCTGTGTACAAAGCTCATTTTTTTTATCCTGTCACCTGGCCGGTGCCAAAGCATCCTTCATTTCTCAGCTGAAATGCCACTTGAAACGACAGTGGCCATGCTTAACTGTAGCCGGGCTCATGTCCTATCAAATCCTCGCAAATCTCCTTCTACTTTTCCTTGGCAGCACTTACCACGGCAGACATAAGTTGATGGCATGTATGCTACTAGTCCACTCTCAGCACTTGGTTGAGCCTAGATATTTTCAAAGGATTCTTACGTAAAAGAATAAGTAAAACTTAAAATTAGGCAAGCTTAGCGTTTATTTGATCAAGGTTGACAAAGGCCATAGAAACTTTAAAGTTGAAAGAGACAGCATCCACATAAGCCAAATCACTTGATTTACTGATGAGGGGTGCCACCAGGGAGACATCACATGTCCATGTCCAGCTTCACTGTGCTGTACCCAAAGGACCTGTTCTGGACCTGGAGATGGACCCATACTTTCTCGTTGAACTCCAAGACTTGAACAGGGTCCTGAGGGAAATGAATTCCTTGAGAGGAACTTTTTTCTGGCTGCTAATCACTGACTAGGAAAGAAAAAATAACGTAGACAGCATTCGTATTTCACTGATGGATTTAGTTACGGAGATTAAAGTGTCAGCTTGGTATGGGTCCAGCACGTCTCTGATTTGACAGTAGTTTAAGGGTGAAGGTAAAGACATCCAGAACTGGCTCTTTTGACATGTTGGGTAGCAGTCCCGTGGGTCTTTCTCTCAAAACTTCGGTTCAGTTTTTCACAGTGGGGTCTGTGGGCTCCAGGGAGGCCCACAGCTAGAAAGAATAACAGGGGCGTGCAGTTCAGGCTGGAGACCCGCTGGCACCAAAGTGTGGGAAAAGTTCTCACAGGGCCTGCCCACAGTCAGCCTCGTCCAGACTAAGGTTATTAATCTTTCACATCCCCAAACACTCAAGTCACACAGATTTGAAAAGGGAAAATAAAATGAGATGGCAGGAGGCGACAAGGCAGAGTAGGAAGAACAGCGAGGGCCGGACCTGGGAGGCTGACTTCACATTTGTCAACTGGAACCAAGAAGGTCATACCAGCTGATGCCCAGCTGCCTACCAAAGGCCTGAGAAGGTAGTTTTGTGGTCAGTTGGCAACTTGGACACATCTGAACTCATCTGGACAGTGCGGGTAATACTTACGGTCCCAAGATCCCAGTCTTGACTTCCATGGG